TAATTTTATCTATCACTTTCATAAAAATTTACGTTGCTTGCTGTTATTTATAATGTAAAGGGTGTTTTTCCAACAGTGCAGGGAGGGTTTATACAGTACGTAAACGAAAAAATAATTGTAAATGAGTATGTATGTCACGTCATCGTCACATTCACGGTAAGTTTTCCTATCACTTTCATAAAAATTTACGTTGCTTGCTGTTATCTATAATGTTAAAGGTGTTTTTTTTAACAATGCAGGGAGGGTTTATACAGTACGTAAACGAAAAAATAATTGTAAATGATATGCATGTCACGTCATTATCACCTCATTCACAGTAATTTTATCTATCACTTTCATAAAAATTCACATTGCTTGCTGTTATTTATAATGTAAAGGGTGTTTTTTTAACAGTGCAGGGAGGGTTTATACAGTGTAAACGTAAAAATATATTAAAATATCTATGTACATATAGGCGGATCCTACTTCGCGGATTTCCTGGTTCGCGGCGGGTCCCGGAACCGAACTACCGCGATAAGTGAGGCAACACTGTATATATATATATATATATATATATATATATATATATATATATATATATATATATATATATATATATATATATATATATATATATATATATATAGAGCCAAACTTCCCATTATAAGGTGAGTGGCTGAGTCATGGAATATGCACTGACTCTTTGGGAAGAAAAAATACAGAGGAAGGAAATTCCTAGTCCCCTTGCTCCACCCCAATTAGTTGACTCTTACAACACGCATGGGAACACGAAGGTAGTATTCAAGACCATTTTATATTATATATATATATATATATATATATATATATATATATATATATATATATATATATATATATATATATATATATCTATATATATATATATATATATATATATATATATATATATATATATATATATATATATATATATATATATATATATATATATATATATATATTTATATATATATCTATATATATATCTATATATATATCTATATATATATATATATATATATATATATATATATATATATATATATATATTATATATATATATATATATATATATATATATATATATATATATATATATATATATACTGCCCTCCCCAACTAACAAAAAAGTTAATTTCCAGAATTCCATCTGTAAGTTGTACATAGGTAAAATAAAAAAGTTCTGTAAAGGATATACATATGCAGTACTCGGCAGTACTTAGGCTAAAGGCAGTTACTACATAAAACAAAGTATACAGTAGTGCTAAATTTTAATACAGCAATAATAATGTAATAATACAATACAGTACATTAATACATACATTCATACATGGGTAAATAATATGTAGGTTTTTGTTCGTATCTCAAAATGTGTGTAACTCTGTTGTTCGTAAGTAGGGGAGCATCTGTAATTATAATATATATATATATATATATATATATATATATATATATATATATATATATATATATATATATATATATATATATATATATATATATATATATTCAATGTATACAGTTCTACTTATTATAACTAATCTTAGTGATATACAGAGGACACTAAAAATGTAGCATAAAATATGCTTTCTGGTTAGACATACAGATTACATATCTATCCTCTATTTTATATATATATATATATATATATATATATATATATATATATATATATATATATATATATATATATATATATATATATATATATATATATATATATATTCATTGTATACAGTTCTACTTATTATAACTAATCTTAGTGATATATAGAGGACACTAAAAATGTAGCATAAAATATGCTTTCTGGTTAGACATCCAGATTACATATATATCTTCATTATATATATATATATATATATATATATATATATATATATATATATATATATATATATATATACATTATATATATATATATATATATATATATATATATATATATATACAGTGTTCCCCCGGTTATTCGTGTTTCTTGATTCGCGTTCTCACTGTATCGCGGTTAAAAAAAAAAAAAAAATTATTGTGACACCAGGATGGGCCAAAAAATGATAAAATAAAACAGACTTTATCAGGTTGTAAAGAGACACAGAGATGGAGAGTGTAATGACCTGTCAGATGTGAAGGGATTATAAAAGATGTGTAATGAATATCCAGCTCTCTGCTGGGTTTTAATATACCTCTGCATTACTTTCATGATGTCTATTCCAATAATTCTGCTTAGCTCTTATTTTTATTATTATTATTATTATTATTATTATTATTATTATTATTATTATTATTATTATTATTATTATTATTATTATTATTATTATTATTACCACTGGCAACAATAATTTTCCATTGATGATGATTGTGGAGATTATTATCATCATCATCATTATTATTATTATTAAGGGCTCATCATTGTTTGTACATCTGTTGGTTTATTTACTTTTAATAACTGTGTAAAGTGCCCCTCCCCAGTTGGCTTGGAAAAAGAGAGTGTGGGGGGTTGGGTAGAATAGAATGTTGGAGAGAGAGAGAGAGAGAGAGAGAGAGAGGAGAGAGAGAGAGAGAGAGAGAGAGAGAGAGAGAGAGAGAGAGAGAGAGAGAGAGAGAGAGAGAGAGAGAGAGAGAGAGAATCTTTAAGTAACTCTTGTTCATTCAACCATAACTACATTATTTATAGTAAAAATAATGGCTTAATTACGAATTAATAATAAAAATAATAATGATAATAATAATAATAATAATAATAATAATAATAATAAAATAATAATAATAATAATAATAATAATAATAATAATAATTATAATATAATAATAACAATAATCTCCCCAATCATCTTCAAAGGAAAATTATTGTTGCCAATAATAATAATAATAATAATAATAATAATAATAATAATAATAATAATAATAATAATAATAATAAGGAGAATATTTAGAATAGACATCTTGAAAGTAATGCAGAGGTATAGTAAACCCAGCAGAGCTGGATATTCATTACACATCTTTTATAATCCCTTCACATCTGACAGGTCATTACACTCTCCATCTCTGTTTCTCTTTACAGCATGATAAAGGCCGTTTTATTTTATCATTTTTGGGCTGTCCTGGTGTCATAATCACCTTAAAAAAAAAAAAAAAATTTAAGGCTGATCCTACTTCGCGGTTTTCCTGTTTCGCGCCGGGTCCTGGAACAGAACTACCACGATAAGGGGGGGAACACTGTATATATATATATATATATATATATATATATATATATATATATATATATATATATATATATATATATATAGTGATCCCCCCTTATTGCGGTAGATCAGTTCCGGGACCCGGCGCGAGACAGGAAAACCGCGAAATAAGATCAGCCTATATGTATATAGATATTTTAATTTATTTTTACGTTTACACTGTATAAACCCTCCCTGTACTGTTAACAAACCACCCTTTACTTCATAAATAACAGCATGCAACGTAAATTTATATGAAAGTGATAGATAAAATTACGGTGAATGAAGTGGTAATTACATGACATACTCATGTACATAGGTATTTTACAATTATTTTTACGTTTACGTACTGTATAAACCCTCCCTGCACTGTTAAAAAAAACACCCTTTACATTATATATGACACCATGCAGCGTAAATTTACATGAAAGTGATAGATAAAATTAAGGTGTATGAAGTGGTAATTACATGACATACTCATGTACATAGGTATTTTACAATTATTTTCACGTTTACGTACTGTATAAACCCTCCCTGCACTGTTAAAATAACACCCTTTACATTATAAATAACAGCAAGCAACGTAGATTTACATGAAAGTGATAGATAAAATTACGGTGAATGAAGTGGTAATTACATGACATACTCATGTACATGGGTATTTTACAATTATTACAAATAACAGCAAGCAACGTAAATTTATATATTTTTTACTGTTTTATTATTCTTAGGCTAGGAAATACTTGTTTTATCAATAAAATAATGAAAATTTTAATGTTCACTAGGTCACGTAGGTGACAGCCTTTGCGTTTTCCGAAACACTGATACTGGTATCGTATTTTACATGGTGCAATACTGCTAGTTTATATGTTTTTTACTATTTTTTACTGTTTTATTATTCTTAGGCTAAGAAATACGTTTTTTTTATCAATAAAAAATATACAGTATATGCTAGCTCACTTAGGTGCGACCCCAATACATTGTACGCTATCGGACACTATTTGATATGATGCATTACCCTGTACTGTGTTAATGTATATCTAAATTTATGTTTTCTACTATTTTTTACTGTTTTTTTATTCGTAGGCTGGGAAATAAATTTTTGTTATCAATTAAATAATGAAATTTGTTTTGTTTTTCGATAAAAAAATGAAAATACTGAAAATTTTAATTTTTTCAATATTTTAATATTATTACGTATACCCAAGAAATAAAATAATAATTTGCCAAAAAAAGACCCGTGGTACAGTGAAAACGCGAACCAAGAAACGCGATCCAGAGGGGGATCACTGTATGTGTATATATATATATATATATATATATATATATATATATATATATATATATATATATATATATATATATATATATATATATATATATATATATATATATAAAACCAAATAAGCACATTATTATATGTGAAAACATGAATCATTTTTACCCCGACCGGGACTTGAACTTGGGACTTATAATTATTAAGCCAAGGTGCTACCAAATACACCACAGAAAGTCTTAAAAGGGAAACAAATCTTACAGCTTATATCTGCTATACTAGGAATGAATGCATTCTATCTGAATGCCACTATGTTCATATTACAGTTTTCCTCAACCTCACTAGTGGTTTCATTTTCGCATTTAATTTACTCCCATTATATGCGAAAATGAAACCATGAGTGAGGTTGGGAGAAACTGTAATATGAACATAGTGGTATTCAGATAGAATGCATTCATTCCTAGTATAGCAGATATAAGCTATAAGGTCTGTTTCCCTTTTAGGACCTTCTGTGGTGTAATTGGTAGCGCCTTGGCTTAATATTTATAAGTCCCAGGTTCAAGTCCTGGTCGGGGTAAAAATGATTAATGTTTTCACATATGGTAACGTGCTTATTTGATTATTGTTGGTCCCGAATGAGATTGGGAGTTGAATTAAATGCAAAAACGAAGTCACGAGTGAGGTTGGGGGAAACTGTAATATGAACATAGTGGCATTCAGATAGTATGCGTTTATACCTAGTATAGCAATTATAAGCTGTAAGGTCTGTTTTCCTTGTAAGACCTTCTGTTGTGTAGTTGGTAGCGCCTTGGCATAGTAATTACAAGTCCCAGGTTCAAGTCCTGGTTGAGGTAAACATGATTCATGTTTATGCATATGGTAATGTGCTAATTTGGTTTTGTATATACAGTGTTCCCTCCCTTATCGCGGTAATTTGGTTCCAGGACCTGGCGCGAACCAGGAAAATCGCGAAGTAGGATCAGCCTTTAAATTTATTTTTTTTTTTTTTTTAAAGATAATTATGACACCAGGACAGGCCAAAAATGATAAAATAAAATGGCGTTTATCAGGCTGTAAAGAGAAACAGAGATGGAGAGTGTAATGACCTGTCAGATGTGAAGGGATTATAGAAGATGTGTAATGAATATCCAGCTCTCTGCTGGGTTTACTGTACCTCTGCATTACCTTCATGATGTCTATTCTAAAACTTCTCCTTAGATCTATTATTATTATTATTATTATTATTATTATTATTATTATTATTATATTATTATTATTATTATTATTATTATTATTATCATTATTATTATTATTATTGGCAACAATAATTTTCCTCTGATGATGATTGGGGATATTATTATTATTATTATTATTATTATTATTATTATTATTATTATTATTATTATTATTATTATTATTATCATTATTATTATTATTATTATTATTATTATTATTATTATTATTATTATTATTATTATTATTATTATTATCATCATTATTACTACGAATTCGTAATTAAACCATTATTTTTACTGTAAATAATGTAGTTTTGGTTGAATGAACAAGAATTATTTAAAGATTCTCTCTCTCTCTCTCTCTCTCTCTCCAACATTCTATTCTACCCAACCCCCTACACTCTCTTTGTCCCAGCCAACTAGGGAGGGACACTTTACACAGTTATTAAAAGTAAATAAACCAACAGATGTACAAACAATGATGAGCCCTTAATAATAATAATAATAATGATGATGACGATAATAATCTCCACAATCATCATCAAAGGAAAATTATTGTTGCCAATGATAATAATAATGATAATACTAATAATAATAATAATAATAATAATAATAATAATAATAATAATAATAATAATAATAATAATAATAATAATATCTAAGCAGAATTATTGGAATAGACATCATGGAAGTAATGCAGAGGTATATTAAAACCCAGCAGAGAGCTGGATATTCATTACACATCTTTTATAATCCCTTCACATCTGACAGGTCATTACACTCTCCATCTCTGTTTCTCTTTACAACCTGATAAAGTCTGCTTTATTTTATAATTTTTTGGCCCATCCTGGTGTCACAAAAAAAAAAAAGAAAAAAAGAAAGAAAAAAAAAAGCGATACAGAGAGAACGTGAACCAAGAAACGCGAATAACCGGGGGAACACTGTATATATATATATATATATATATATATATATATATATATATATATATATATATATATATATATATATATATATATATATGTATGTATGTATGTGATTACCTAATTGTGATTACCTAATTGTGTTTACGGGAAAGAGCCCAAAGCTCGTATCTTCCCGTCTCCTGATCGGTTCCATTTTAGACTTAGTGATACTTATCGTACCTGTCCTTAAAACTATGGATTGAGATAGCATTAACTACCTCCTCGCTTAACGAATTCCAATTATCAACTACTCTTACACTGAAAAAGTATTTCCTTACATCCTGCAAAGAAGTTTTCTTACGAAGCTTCAAACTATGACCTCTAGTTCTAGAGCCAGCCATATCGAAATATCGATCCCTATCCACTCTATCATAACCATGAAGGAATTTAAAGACTGTCACCATATCCCCCCTTACTCTTCTAGCTTCGAGTGATGGCAAATCTAATTCCCTCAGCCTCTCATCATAACTGAGATTGCGTATTTCTGGCACCAGTTTCGTGGCATGTCTTTGAACTTTTTCAAGCTTAGCTATGTGCTTTTTCAAGTGCGGATTCCAAAAGGGGTATGTATGTATGTATGTATGTATGTATGTATGCATGCATGCATGCATGCATGCATATATATATATATAATATATATATATATATATATATATATATATATATATATATATATATATATATATATATATATATATATATATATATAACTTTTTACATTGGATTCTACTTCGTCTGATAACTTTGTACCATGAAATTTTATGATCTATATTCAACGTTTCCAGGAGGCCTCTCAGTACCATAAAACTATATAAGCTGAAGTCTATTCATTTCGACAGATATATTACATGTTTTTATTAAATATTTATGCTGTATGTTCTACCTCTCTCTAAAGATTCCAAGCAATGTTTACTGTGGCGGATTACCGGAGGTCAAGCAACCCCCAGCTGAGCTTGCAAATGCCTTTTCAATGAGAGTGGAATTAATTTCTCAAATGTCATATGCTGAGGATCAGGAGTTTGTAACGACTATTAGGGTAGGGTCACAATTAATAGAACATTCAAACATAACACCAAGTGTCATTTGATAAAATTTAAACTTAGTTTTTACAAATACTATAGGATTAATCAAGATCAGTTAAAAAAATATTCAAGTACATTAAGTAGAGCGTCGCTGTTTGCCATTTTATGTCACAATTAATCTTCATTTTCGGTGTGGACACAGATAGGTTGGATTTGGGGAATTAAAGCTGGATACCCTTTCTAATGCCCTGAAGTGGGTTCAATCACAGGTCATCACCTTCCAAGTTGAGTGCACTAACCACTTGCAAATAAGTAGTATGTAATGGAGGATAGAACTATATTTAATCAGTATTCAGTCAAGTACATAACTCCTAATAAAGCAAAATACAGCAAAGGCAAGAAGCTCAGGATTATATTTTCAATATACTGCTAATTACTAATCAGAACTCCTTTCTAATATACTTGGATGATTGGGTCAAACAATACAGAAGATATGATACTATATTTGTTGTGCATCACGACATAACCCAGGGAAGTGGGAGGGTGCTCACAAGCAGTCCAGAGGGACGGGGCAACAGGACTTCAAGTACCTTACCTATCCGTGTCTTGAAAACGGATTACATATATTAAAATTGCTTCTAATTCTCCAAAAGCATTACAAAACATGACAAAATATTATCTACACTTATGAAATCTTCTTGTGCCATTGTTGTTGCTTTTAAAATATCTACAATCTTAATCCCACAGCAATGGTATGATTATTATAGGGAACTGGTGCGAACGGATTCCCTCCCAGGGACAGGCACTGAGGAAGCAGCAATTGCCGGATACAATGAGATAGCTTCAATCCAGGTAAGAGCACCTTGAAAAATGGGGTTAAGAAAGCACTACAGAATTATATGCAAAATGGAAGAAATAAAAATGGGTTTTAATATATATATATATATATATATATATATATATATATATATATATATATATATATATATATATATATATATATATTATATATATATATATATATATATACAGTGTTCCTTCAATTATTGCGATGGTTCGGTTCCGGGACCCGGTGCGAGACAGGAAAATCGCGAAGTAGGATCAGCCTATATGTACATAGATATTTTAATTTATTTTTACGCTTACACTGTATAAACCCTCCCTGTACTGTTAACAAACCACCCTTTACTTCATAAATAACAGTATGCAACGTAAATTTTTTATGAATGTGATAGATAAACTTACGGTGAATGAGGTGGTAATGACATGACATACTCATGTACATAGGTATTTTACAATTATTTTTACGTTTAGGTACTGTATAAACCCTCCCTGCACTGTTAAGAAAACATCCTTTACTTTATAAATAACAGCATGCAACGTAAATTTATATGAAAGTGATAGATAAAATTACGGTGAATGAAGTGGTAATTACATGACATACTCATGTACATAGGTATTTTACAATTATTTTTACGTTTACATACTGTATAAACCCTCCCTGCAATGTTAAAAAAACACCCTTTACATTATAAATAACAGCATGCAACGTAAATTTATATGTACGTGACAGGTAAACTTACCGTGAGTGAGGTGGTAATGACGTTTCTTGACCCCGGAGGAAATTATTTCGCAGCCAATAAAAGCTTTACAGCTGCATTTTGGGGGAGAAGAACATGGTATTGGGGAGTTGCTGTCACTGTTTCTTCTTTTGTTGGAAGATGGTATAGTAAGGAATCATGGCATCGTCGAGAATATTACAGAAGGTCACCGAACGAACCATATTATCGTCATATTCCTGCGAGAGTTTTTGGGCTGCTTTCACATGTTCATATATGGCTGCCAGACATTCGAGTGTAAGGCCAGGTTCTTCAAGTTCTTTGTGCGTTTCCCGAAGTTCTTCCTCTTCTTCGCTCGCTGATTTCGTCATTTCTTCCAAGTCTTCATCACTAAAAGGCTGCAAGTGGCAGTCAATCAGTTCATTCACATCTTCGTGAGTCATATCTTTAAAGCCTTCTCCTCCTAGCAATGCAGCCAACTTCACAGGTTTCGCAACTGCTGAGTTATGGACTTCGTCAGGAGCAAATCCCTTGTAGTCTTGGATGACTTTGGGCCACAATTTCTTCCAGCTGGCATTGATTGTGGCCGACTTCATCTCTTTGATTGCATTCTGAATATTTTGAAGGCATGTGGCAATCGTGTAATTACGCCAGTACGTCTTCATTGAGAATTCTTTGTCCGAATCCATGGATTCAACCAGGTTCACGAGGGCATTTCGTGTGTAGAGGGCCTTGAACGCACGAATTACGCCTTGATCCATAGGCTGAATCAGTGACATCATATTCGGTGGCAGGA